GGAGTGGACAAGTAAACGTCCTGATTGAAAGCCTTTGCTCTAATTACCTGATTTGAAATACACTAGAATTTTCAATGAGTTTGATAGATGTTTTAGTGTTCCCTGGTCGGTGTCTCTGCGTCTGTTGTACATTGTGATAATCGGTGTAAACATCATAGGCTTAGATAACATGGGGTGGAAGAAGCTGTGTCGATGTGAAAACAGAAGGTCAAGGACAAAGTTCTAGACTTACAATGATGTCAAATGGGTTTGGGTTTCTGTATAATAGAGGTTACTGATTTCTTTTTGGCTCATTCCAAACACAGAACAATAAAACCTACTGAGTATCTCATGAAGTGCTTTTTGAAACAAAGAAGCAGTTGCCATTTTAGAGTTTACAAAGCACTTTTTACATTTCGTCCTCCCAATAGCCATGAGCCATCAATAGTACACATCTATTTTACATAACGGAAACTTCAAGTTCAGAAAAGCCAGGAAATTTACCTGAGGTGACTTGATAAGCAAGTGTCAGAGTAACTTGAATTTAGTTCTTAATTTCTAAGGCCCATATTCTGCCATGCACCGTTGTGATATTTTCCTCAAGTGAAAAAGAATCAGATTATTTTTATTTAGATTTTCTCTGTAGTATTTTATTATATTCTACCCAACTATCCAAAATTATCACCAATTTTTGGAGGCTAAAAGAATTTGGGTCCAATTCTCTAGGCTGTTATTATTAGAAAAGCAGTCACTTTCACCTGCGTGTTATTTCTTTAATTAGTTTTCCATTAGAGTTCTTTGATACAAGGTATTTAACATCCATCCATTTTATTTCTCTTACAACTTCTGTCATTCAAATTTACCTACATTTTCTATCGTGCTCGTTGTTCCTCCTAACTGCCTCTGATTTTTAGTGTAGGTAGCTAGGAGAATACAAGGATAGCAAAACTCCATGGGTTTGCTATAGATCTAGATTCTGATGAGAATCCAGAGCAAAAAGGAATAGATGAAGCAACAGAGTTTCTGAATTTTTTATTTCTCATGGCTCGATTCTTATTTGCCATGTCTGGAACGCACTTTGTCTTAGGCTTCATGACCTGATGCTGATTTCTGATGCAGTCTAATCCACACTTTAAATAAACGATTTGAGTTCTCATTTTGGTAAATGTCAAGGGAAGAAAAGATATTTCATGCACCTACAGCATCGAAAAAACCTCTTGCCAAATCCATGAATCTGACTCTGCATTATCCTTCCCCAGAAGGAGAGCATAATTTCATTATCCATGAATCATCACCTCTTAGACTGTAACATCATTGTCAGAGAGCCTAATAGAACCAGTGTTCCGCTGGCTGAAAAGGGGGAGGGAGGGAGGGGAGAAAGCACTGGGGCAAAGCACAGGTCACTGGCACAATCAGCAAACTGGAGAGTTCTAAAGCCAGAAGGGGAGGCCCCCCTCCCTTGACACCTTTGACATATCTACAGACCAGTAAATACTGATGCTGACTCTTTTGATTTAATATTAAAATGTTTTTCCTACCTAAATTACGTGTTACTATCTTGCTGATGAAAAACATTAACCCACTTAATAAAAATATCAAAATGTTTAGCCAGCATCGATGAGTATAAGCACTTTAAGATATTTCTTATCTATTCTTATTGCGTTATTACTCGCCTTGCATCTTTGGACGCTTATTTCTAGCCCTCAGTACGGGTTCTATCGCCTCTGTTCCAGCATTACTGAAAAAAAGTCAACCTGAAAAGTATAACGTTCAAAAACCAGATTATGATTATGTTTCCCAGGGAAACAAACTAAATAAAATTCAAATCTGATATACTAGTCAAAAAAAAAAATATGTTGTAAACCACGTTTACATAAGGATTCAGGATAAAAAGCTAAAACGTCTGTGAATAGCTGTGATTAGTCTAACCGGCCACTGGAGGTCACTGCTGCTCCATAGATAGACAATTTACTGCCTGTCTACTTAGGTAGTTACTCACCAAATCAAGTAAAAAATGGTTTAAATTCTTTGAGAAGATGTAATGTCAACATCCTTAGAAAATACAAACTCATTTAAATGGAATATGTCTTACATAAGTATTGCTTACAAGACTGTGGCTCTGGAATTATTCATGTTGTGGTAGCACTATGTGTACTAGGGTTAATAAAAGTGGAAAAAATCCACATGCAGTTTCTAGACTAAATTCCATTTCGTCTCTGTTTTGGTAAAGCAAAGTATTCTGTGTTCTGTTGTATAGTTCAACAGGTCAGGCTGGGTTTTTTTTTTTTTTTTTTAAACTGTCACCTTTGAGGGAAGTCCAATATTTTATGTAAATATGCACTAGAAAAATGAATATCGATCACATTTCTCTAATATGCATGAGCTTGAAGTACTTATACAAATAGATTTATGGTATGTAGTCCAGAAAGATCCATGGGATGGAGGTGAGGCAACAACTTTTGAGCAGGAAACTGTTTGCCAGCTGGCTTTTTAAAATTTACAGTGGTAAACTAGTTATTGTATAATCTATAAGAATTATATATCTATGCTCAGAAGATACTGAGAACTAGAGAAGCTTCATTTTCAAAGAGTAAGGAGGAAGAAAGAACTTTTTCCCCATAATTTCCTGTACCAAATCAAAATGAGTTTTACCACCTAAGGGATTTTATTTTGGTTCTTATCTATTACTGTGTTAATAAGTAAAGTTAGTCATTAAAAAGTGACCAGCTTTCAAAATATTGGCCATTCATTTAGTCTTATATTATATTGTATATGTCAACTAGCTTTGAATTTTAGAAATACTTTTCAATATAGTAACCATATTTTATATATACTGCTAGTACCACAGCATCGAGAATTTGCAATAATTTAAAAATCTAAGTATACCATGCCTAAATATATTTGGTATTCATCACAGGTAAGGCAGAAGTTTCAGTCAAAGAATAGAAATGGGCTTTTTCACTTTAAGACTGCATTTCATTAATACAAACATCTTTAGTACAGATAAAAACGAGGCTAGCCAAGAAAATTTCTTTTTAAGATGGAATATGTATTTACTGATACTTTATGAAAAAATGTAAAATTACAACTTCAGTAAAAAACATCACAGTAAGCTCAGTCATTCAGCAAGCTGTAAGGAAGTATCTGCATTATTGATCAATTGAAAATATGTGACTTTTTGTCATTAATAAATGTATATTCAACAGTTATTCATGGGTAAACATTGTAGCTACGATGCTTTTCTGAAGTGGCATCTACTGTAAGATTTAATCAATATCAAAGTACCATCAGAAATCTACTTTAAATGTTTCTTTTTCTTTATTGCTTATAAAAGTGTGATTTTAGTAATCTGGCATCCTTAAAATTTTATTTAATGGTGACTTGCCTAGATTTTTTCTCTCAGCATATGAAAAACTTCCAAACAATAAAAAAAATTAGTAAAAATAGCCATTCACTTATTCTTCTATGCTGCAGTGACTCTGTTTTGATTGAACAGGGGCATGGTTAAAGATGTAGGCAAGCCAAATTAAATGAAACAGCCTCAATATTGCAGTTCCTGGTATTTGCTTCTAGAATAGAACTATTCGTTTTGGAGGATGAAAGAGAATACAAACTAAAAATATCTTTCCAAAACCTTAATGGACTGTGGTTCAAGTTACTCAAATACAGAGGCTATGATATTCGTGCTGCAGTCAATAAACTTTCACCAATGACATAAAAACATGCATGCAGCTTGCAGATTGCCAACAGGGTCTGTACAGAATTGTACTGATGGATGAGTTCACAATACAGATGAACACAGGGACACTGTCATGTCAGCAATAGAAAAGCAACAGGGAATTGTCATAGTGTTGGTCTTTTTTCCTCTAAGATTTATTTTATACATTTATTAAGGTGTTATCCAAGTCATCCTTTTCAATGAGGCTGTGAGTGGAAAGCAAGTCTTAGAATCTGAGTTCTCTTTACACATCTGAATGAAGTGTCTGTCATTAGGGGATTGGTGTGTGCAGGACATGTAATGGAACACAACAGGGCAGCCTGACAAATCCTGAACAGAGCAGGACTGGGCTCATGATTCTGCTAACTACATTAGGGTCTTTGAAGAAACTGGAAAGAGAAATTCTGGTCAGCTCTCAACCACATGCCTGTAGCAAGCTGCTTTCCCATTCATAAACCTTATTTGAAAACTCCCTAACTAACGTGAGGAGTGGTGGAGAAATCTGGCTTCTAAATGTTATTTCATTTATTTATTTATGAAACATACAGGCTAGAAGAAATTGACAGTGAAACCTCGAGTCTGATTTTACAGGGATGGGTTTCAGAGACAAAGCTTGGAGTCGAAAACTTTGTTTTTTTATCATCTCACACTCTGCAGTTGCCTACTTGCAGTATTTAACCCTTCATCACTCTGTCCCTGTGCTTGCCTTACTGTAATTCAGACACCCCTGGAAACTGCTCAGGGTGCTGCTTTAACGTAGCACCATCTTTTGATAGTTTCTTGCAGTTTTCTTTTTTAAGCCAGGCATTGGTGTCAAGGCTCTGCTTGTCTTTAAAATGTTCGCATAACTGAGTCATCTCCAAGATTCAGCTCAAGCTCCGAGCACCTGGATCATTCACCTCCTTCTTTGATTTCCCAGTGAGCTGCAAACCTCCTTAACTGTAGATTTGGTCCTACCACGAGTGGAACAGCAGATGCGGGGGATTACTTATGAAAGAAGTTTTATCTTCAAACAAATGCGACATTAATGGAATCAATAAAGGGTCTTACACAATAGGCATTATATTAAACCAGAGTTCAAGCTTCACATTGATTGTGGTATTTAAATTTCAATGGGTTGCTTATGTATGAGAGAAAAATGACCAGTATTATGAATGCACTAAAACGGACAGAGAAGGACCTTGCCAGCAAAGTGAGGGGTGGGGGGAGGGGGCATCGCATTCCCTTTATAGTCACCAGAGTTCAATAAAGCACCACTTAATTCCCAGCGTTTAAGAGCGCTTTTTATCACAATGGTTCATACCTCACACTCCCTGGAGCCTGATTTGCTATAGGTGCAGGGTCCCGTCCCATTCAGCAGCATCTCGCTGGTCTCCGTGTTGGTGGGTTTGTAATCTACGTAAAATTCCTGGGTGCTGGGATTCATCTGCTTTAGGGACTGTCTTTTCTTTTTCCTGTGCCTTCGCATGAGGGAGCGCTGCTGCAGCTGCTTCATGCTGGCAGGGTACCGCTTCCATGACACGTAGATAACCAGCAGGATGACAAGCACGGACAGGAAGAGCGCCACGCTCCCCGCGATGATTTTATGGAAAGAGATGTGCTCGGCGTCAGCGTCGGTCTCTGGGCCGGGCTCTGTGGCTCCCACCGTCGGGGGCACAGGGGGTTTGCTCTCATGCTTCGGCCTGGGGAGCTTAGGCTTAAACGTTGGCTTTGGGAGAGCCCTGGCCAGATCAAACCTCTCTGTAGTACTTTTGCCACAGATGCTGTAATTCTTCACTGCATCGATCACGTTTACTCCTTGCAGCTCTTTGGGACTGGCACAGATAATTGTATTCTCCCTTAGACCTTTGAAACTTTTCAGCCAGTTTACAAGGGAGCAAATATTTCGGCTGCATTCCCATATATTCCCAGCAAGACTGATGTCATTGAGGGATATCCAAGAATCCAAAATCTCTTGACCAATAAATGTGAGCTTGTTGGAATCCAGGTTGAGGCGCTGCAGATTCGGGACACATTGGAAAACACTGGGTCCACTGAAAGCTTCGATCTCATTGCCTGATAAATCAAGCCTTTGTAATGAGCTCCAGGTCCAGGACATGGTCTGTCCTATGACACTGATTTTATTCCACTGCAAGTAAAGGTTCTGAAGGCTCACCAACCTTGGAAAAAGGGCCAGGTTGAGCTTGGAAAATTGATTGTGCTCCAGGTGAAGTTCTTTGAGTCTGATCATGCCAGCAAAGACATTCCTGGCTAAACTTCGGATCCGGTTATATCCCAGGTCCAAAAGTTCCAGGTTGCGGCAGTCTTGGAATATTCGCACAGGGATGGTTCTCAGGGAGTTAGACCGTAAATGTAAACTCAGCAGCTTCCGCAAGCCCCGAAACTGTTCAGATCCCAGAGAATGCAGCTGATTATAGGACAGATCCAAGTTCCGTAAATTTGTCACCGGTCTGAAGGTATTGTTAAGAAAATAGGAGATTCTATTGGAACTAAGAATCAGCTCTTTGAGTCTGCGTATTCCATTAAAAGCATTTTCGTCAATATTGCTGATATGGTTATGGTCAAGGTATAGCCAGGTGAGCTGGTTGAGCCCTTTAAATTGATTATACTTAAGTTTTTGAAGGCTGTTATAGCGAAGGGACAAACCTAAGCAACCAGCAGATATACTTGAGGGTATCTCCTGTAATTTCTGAGATTCACAATATACCATTTTGCCTTCACACCTACAGCCCTTAGGGCATCCTCGTTCGGCAGAAGAAAGCATTGTCAGTAAGACAGTGGGGGCTATAACCAGAGCTACCGCTGATCCGCTCAGTAGCCTAATTACATTGAAACCTGGAAATAAAAACAACTTAGAAAAGTTATCCCCCCAAAAAAGAATGAATCTTTAATCAAGCAAAAATAGGCATGTATTTTTCATTTTTAAAATTTAAATCTAGATAACGTTTAACATCACATATAATCTCTTTGTAATTAAAGAGAACTGTCTTTAGTGCTTTGTTGGTTTTTTTTTTTTTTAATAGTTAAACAAGGAAACGTGTCCACTAAGCAAATAAATTCATAGTCTTACAGCAGAGCAAGGTAATCTCTAAAATAATTAAGGCAGAATTATTACACAGACTAGAGGTTTTTTGTTTTTAAGAAGGAAAGAAGAAAAATGACAAAACATACCCATCCTTTGTATTGTTCAAAGGTCGTCCTTAGGTCTTTTGCTTTGGCTTAGGGGCCACTTGCATGACAGCCCCTGTCAGCTGCACTGTAGTGAGTCAGGGCTCGCTGACACCCAGGAAGAAAAATTGGACCCCTTGGGAGATGGACCGATTTTGGAACATTATTCTTTGCCAGCCACGCAGAACACTCCAAGAACAAATAAATCCCAACACCGCATTCACAGCAAAACATCAAAATCTTCCTAGGTAATAGGATCTTCATGGATATTACGTTTTTGCATCTTTACAGTTTTTTGGGGGTGGCGGGGGGCGGTTAAAAAAAAAAAACTGGCTCCTACAATTTCTTCTTATCAAAAAACATGATATATTCCTCCAGGCAATGTGGGGCTACCTGAGCTGCCACATCTGTATTCCATCGCCCAGCAGTTCCCGTGGTGAGCACCCAGTTCAGCCACAGAGCTGCGTTGGAGCCCAGAAGGCAGGAGAGCCCCGTACCGCGCACACGCTCAGCTCACTTCTGCAGACTGTCATTCTGAAAGCTGCTCGGACTGTTGCTTTGGTTTCAGTGAATGCAGTCTTATGTAAAGCTGCCCCCAGTGGTGAAGAACATTATGGGCATGTGCAGAAATGTCTCTCTTTTATCTTGCAAATGAGCAGGCTCTCTGCTGGAAAATGAATGATTCTTTTGGGTGGCTCAGTAGGAACTGAATGGTCACCGTAATCAATAACTAGCGAAGTTTTCTGTGATTTCCAAGTCTTGTTTTACGATTTGGCAACGTCTTTATTGTCTGTGTCCACTTAATTGCTAAACATGTGCTGCCCAGAGTTTTTCTGGAGCTTGACATTAAGTTCATAGACCGAACGTCAATTTTTCTTAACCTCAAGGTAGGCTTTAAACGGAAATTTATAAAATGAATTATTGAGCTTTTCACAGAGAAGCGTTAACTGCCTGCCCATTTGACCTCTTGGAGTCACAGTGATTATATTATGCAAGGTGTCTTAGGATGCTAGAACACAAACATTTTGGAATAGAGGGGATGACTGATGAGAAATGAATTAATGTGTCCAGTAGTACCTCCAGTGTTCTCACAGAAGATATAATTGGCTTTATGGCTATGGTTTGGTTTCTTGTTTTGGTTGTTGTAATTTTCTTTTAATTAGAAGGGAAATAAACCATTTTTAGTGTTAGTGTACGAATCAAGAGATCATTTGGTTCATAGTTTCATAGTTTATTGATGTTACTGCTATTTATTACACTAATAATATTTATGGAGCACTTTGTAAGTGCTTTAAATGGGCTACCTTTATATATATATATATATATATATATATATATATATATATATATATATTTAAACAATAGTATGATGTAGGTCCTCTTATAACCTCTGTTTTAAAGATGAGGAAATAGACTTGGAGAGGGAACTTTCTCAAGGTCATTCAGCAAGTGAATGACAGGGCAGAGCTGAGCTTCAGAAGCAAGTCACTCTTTTGCTGAACCGCTAACTTCTAGACAATCCTATTCAATAGCATTGTTACCTTCATTTTAAAAATAAATCAATGAAAATGAGGCTACTTAAAGGATTGGGGCAGGGAAGCTGTAATCAACAAATTCTTGCTCGTTCTATTAGACTTGTCTAAACTTCTTTTGGTTTGAGGCTCCTAAAGAAGTATAAAAATTAAGACAGGGCAGTTCGGTGATTAAGAGCATCGATTTTTGGCACCTAGATTGCAACCCCTGGTTGCAATTTACTAGCTATGTTACCTTAAGTGGCTGACTTACCTTCTCTATGCCTCAGTTTTGTCATCTGTAAAATGGGCATAAAAACAAAAACTCACTTCCTGTTTTGAGAATTAAGTCATTTTAATATCCGCATGTTACTTAGAACAGTGTGTTGTACACATTCTAATAATACTAACTTTATACTTGCTAGGATTACATACTGAATATTGACTATACTGTCATTAACTCACAAAAAACAACTTTAGTGAGCATTTTTCAATATTGTACATGGTGGATTCATTCAGTCTTGCCTTCTTTGATGAGACAATTTCCTTCATGTTCATCATCTCAACTTTATCTTTCAAATAAATCTTGTGGTTCTGTGGACCTTAACTAATAATTAATGTTTGGTTCTTTTCATCCCCAAAGCAGAACATAGTAACATCTGCCGTGTAGGGGCATTTTATTTAAAAATAATGGTATTCTTGAACAAGTTTGCCTTGTTATTTTTTGTTAGGTGAATTGGCTGTGGAAAACCATGGAGAGCTTTCACATTCTCCAAGGATGAGATTTTTAGTAGAGGTTAGTAATGACAATCAAAAGGGACCCTACAGATGAAGTACAATGGATATTACCGATTCCAATTGGGCAGTATGCTCTTCATAGGGCAGTGTTTTCCCCAGGGATGATCTAATCTGTGAATGCATATGAAACCTCCAGTGAGTTTCTCAAAAAGATAGACTTCCCAATCCCTTTCCCAGGATTCTCATCCTGGTGGGGGATGGAAGAGTGTGTGCTTTTCAATAGCCTCGCTGAAATAAGGCTAAGAAACTCACAGTGAAGGAACGATTAAAAATAACGTTTTCTCCTAGTAGGAAGAGAGAATATGCAGACTTATAATACTGAGATGTAAGTTCCATGAGGACAGTGGCAATGTTTTATCTACTTCCTTTTTCCTAATATCTACAATAGCACTTGGTACACTGCAGATATGCAATAAAATTTATTGGAAAAATATATTTTTATGGGAGTCACAAGTACAATGGATACAGTATGACTGATTATCTAATGTTGGAGATTTGTACATGGGATTGAGTCCTGCAAACTTCCCCAGTTAGTGAGATTGGAAACAGTTTTGGAGAACATATTCTTAAAGGATGTATCTACAAAGACAAAAACTAGAAAGTGAGAAAAATTAGTTGATCAGCAAGTGATCTTTACTTTTCATAGAGATGTCTCTTAGCTTCATGTTTAAACTACAAATTTCATGAGGAAAGTAAATATGCTTTTGACTCTTCCTCTTTGCTCAGTACAGAAGGGTAATACTGAACCTTTATCATTTAACATCCCAAATGGGCTTGACAACTTGTTATCTCTCCAAAACAGGAATTATATTTATAACTATTCTCTCATACCTCTGTTGCTTGAAAGGCTCTGATATTCCTCCTCACTCTCCCTGAGTCTCTGTGGATAGTCACTGAGATACCTGTTTTGTCCAAGAGCTAGGAGGGTGAAGGACCTGTCAACTTTATGCTTCTTGCTCATGATGCTTCACTTCCCAGTGACAGAACAGAGGAACCCACTGAGAATGTGGGCTCTCACTTTGCTTTTCCTGGGAAAAATCTTGGATTATTTATGGTGAATATTATTCTCTGCTGTGTTACACATGTTGCTCTTAGTTTTCAGAGACTTTTATGATATCTTAGTTTCTGATCTTATCTTACCGCATAGTTCTGACTTTACACCTACCCTTTGGATCTTATAATTGATATTTACTCTTAATACTAACAATGGAGGGTTCAAAATATTAGAGTGAATGAATAAGACCTAGTATTGGCTAGCACAACACGGTGACTCTAGTCAATAATGAATTAATTGTACATTTAAAAATATCTGAAAGCCTAACTGGATTGTTTGTTTCACAAAGGAGAAATGCTTGAGGGAGGGCATGGATACCTCATTTATCCTGACTTAATTATTACACATTGCATGCCTATATCAAAACATCTCATGTACCCCATAAATATATGCACCTACTATGTGCCCACAAGAGAAAACTACATGATAGGAATGGTGTGCTGCAATAAAAATGCTTTGATAGCAATATATTGATTGACAAGGAAAAATGTTCATAATAAAATAATATGAAGGAAAAAATACTGACCATCAGTCTCTTTCTCAACATAATCAGTGGCCACTCTTGCATTGGATCAGCATCCAGGGACTGTGGATGGCCCCTGCCTTGGCACCTGCCTTTAAGTTAGCATCAAAACCAGGTCTGATCTGGTTCAGGATAATAAATTGTTGGAAGAGGGAAGATTATCCATAAATCTAGCTGAGAAATTCAAAACAAAATAATGTAATTCTAAGCTATGCTGGATACTTGAGACTGCAGAAATTACTGCAAAGACATAGAGTAGTTCCTGAAAAAGAAAAGTTTGTGTTCTAAAAGATTTTAGTAATTTGCCTGTATACTTTTCAAAAGCTTTTTTCTCCTTTTACTTTTCGACTATAGTGAGCTGATCATTTCTGATTTGCCTTTCAGCAGAAGCAAAATTAGACTGCGTTATGTATTTAGCAACTAGCAACATCTTTTGCACTTAATATTACATACAGAACAAACCATAAACTACCTGACAAGTTAAATATCCCCAATGTATCTAAGGCCTTAATGATTTATACAATTATAAAAATAGTGTCATCTATCTAAAGACTTTTTGTTTTATTGTGCTTATAGTACTTTAAATAGCTAAACATATTTTGTTTAAATTGGGTTAATAAATCAAATCTCAGTTTGGCAATACTGCCAAATTTCAGTCCTCCAATATGAAAAGGAATTGCCAGCTATAAACTTAGAAATTCATAACTGAAAGAGGATGTACTGATATCTTAACAGTTGTTGACTTCAGGTATTTTATTTATCTTAAATTTACATAATTTGGATACCCATTATGTACCAGACTCTGTTCCAGATTCTTGGAATATATTAGTGTGCAAAATAAAGGCCCGTGCCTTTTAGATTAGATTCTAAAGGGGTAAAACAGACAGTTAAAAAATACATAGTATATTAGTAGATCATACATACTATGGAAAAAAGAAAAGTATAAGGAAGTTTGGGAGTGCAAGGTATGAGATGGGTTGCAGTTTTAAATTGGATGGTTAGGGCCATTAAGAAACTGACCTGAGCAAACCTTGAAGGAGATGAGCTTGTTAGACTTAAACAGATATGTGGGGAGTGGCCAGTGCAAAGGCCTAACGTGGAAGCAGATCATATGTTCCATTAACAGCAAGGAGGCCAATGAGTCTAGAGTGGAGAGAACAAGTGATTGAATACTTGGAGATGGAGGTCGTGGAAGGCCTTAGGATGACGTTGTAAGAATATTGGCTTTATTATGGAGAAAATGGGGAGCTAACTGGAGATTTTTGTGCGGAGTTAACATATGATCAAATTACCTATTGAAAGGTTCACTGTTATGGATTGAATGTTTTCATTTACCCTCCCCCAAATTTACATATTGAAACCCCAATTCCCAACGTGCTGGTATTTGGAGATAGAGCCTTTATGAGATAATTAGGTCATGGTACTGGATCCCTCATGACAGATCAGTGGGACTATAAGGATAAGAAGAGATAAACGTGAGGGAGTTTGCTTGTTCTCTCTCTGCTACAAGAGAAGGCAGCTATTAGGAGGCCAGAAATCAGGCTTCTTTGACATCGGGTCTTCTGGTACCTTCATTTTGGACTTCTTAGCCATTAGAACTGTGAGAAATAAATGTTTACTGCTTAAACCACCCAGTATATAGTATTTTTGTTATAGCAGTACAAACTGACTGAGATGATCACTCTTAGTAGGG